ACTTTTGTTTTCTTTTTGTAAAGGACTTTGCAACCAACTCTTTATAAAAAAAGATGTTTTGGTCCAATGTTTGTATTTTTTGCTTTTAAATTGCTACACTTCTAATTATTGTGTTCTTTCATTCTATCTATTCCCCTCTGTCCCTTTGCTTCAAGGAGATCTTAGTTCTCCTTGAAGTATGAGATCGGGAACCTGACCTTAATTTGAGCTAAGGTGTTGGTCTTGTCTCTTTGATCTGAAGGGATCTTGCAAGCCGAAGGGCTTCTTGAACCTAAGGTCTCCTTTTTTAACCTGAGTAGTTTGGCTTTATGAGTTGAAAAACTCATTTTTCATGGAGTTATCTTAGTTCAACTCAAAGAGCTTATCCTTGGTTCGTGTTGGACCAAGCCTTATCATTATGAGTTGAAGGGCTCAATGTTATGAGCTGAAGAGTTCACCTTCCATTTGGCTAGGGTGCCATCAACTGGATTGAGTTGCTTGTGTTTGAGCTCTACTTTTCATGAGCCCATGCCTGGCCGCTCTGCTCCTCTTGCATGGAAAATAAAAAATGGGTCGTTATTCGTGCCCATCTACCTTCTTAAAACGCCCCCCACTGTCATGATCTTGGGAGTTTAAAGGGCCTCCCTTTTGTCTTCGTGCATTTCTTGCTCCCTTAAAACTTGGGATTCCCTATTATTCCCATAAAACTTGGGATTTCCTATTGTCTACAATTCTTGGGATTTCTTCTTTGTGCTCCTCATCCTTCCTGAGACTTTTTTCATTTTCTGTCTTCTTTCTGGTTTACATGGCTCCCTTTCTTACTCTTTTGTTCAAACAATGAGCCCAAGCCATGATTGACATGGTGTGCTATTCTAACTTTCCATTTTTTTTTGTGATTACAAACCCAGAGCTAGAAGAAATCAAGAGGCGGTACCTTCTGCCTAATGACTTACCCCTTCGAGTCCCAACTCCTGATGAGCCTTGCAACTTTCTTCTCCAATGAGAAATTTGCTTTTCCGAATGTACTTTCGAGATGGGTTTTCGTCTGCCCATCCTTCCTGCCATTTGGTGGATTTTGGCCTTCTTTGGATTGTGCCCCTCTCGTCTTTCTCCTAAAGGTTGGAGTGCTATGATAAGATTCTTTATTTTTTGGCGCCTGCAAGGCAATAATGAGTTTTCTACTGTTGTCAAGTTTCTCTATTTTTATAAACTTGATTATGACATGCCCCCTTGTTCTTGGGGGTGCTTCTATTATAGAGGCAGAGGCTCAGGATCTGCTCTTTTATAATTTGTGGACACTGTGATTGGTTCTTATTATGCTTTCATTATAAAGGTGTCCCCAGTTTGACCCCGGCAGAGCTGGTGAGGGTTAGCCAAGTGGCTCATGCTGAGGTTGTCCCCTTCTCATTGCTAGTCACTCCCTAGAACCTTATCTGGTTTGGAGCTTTTGTTGTTGCTGCTGCTATGGACACTATCATACGCCATACTTCTCCTATTCTTGATGTAGATTCCTCTCCTGCTGAGTTGGATGAGGATAAGGATGTTGCCACCTCTTCTAGGAAACGTAGGAGGAGCAGCTCCTCTCCTCAGTCGTCTAGTTCTTCTTTTGATTGTATTTTGTTTTTTGCTACTGAGCTGAAACTTTTAGAGCAACCCACAAAGGTGGAGAGGGAGTGTGATGAGCTAAAGGAAGAGAATTCTTGTCTGCAGGTATGAATGCTCATCTAGAGGAGAAAATATCTGAGCTGAAGAGAAGGCCTGGAGGGGCTTAAAGCCTTTTCTTTTCTTCTCCTTGTAATTCGTCGTACTTATGAATAAAAATCTCTGTTTCTTCCTTGCTTATTTCCTTGCAATTTTACTCTGTTGGTTGCTATGTTTTGGCTTTTGTTTATGAGCTAAAGGGCTCAACTTTTGCTTAGGAGATGAAGAGACCATCACTTGTTTATGAGCAAAAGTGCTCATCGTTTGTTTATGAGTTGAGGAACTCATTGTTTGTTTATAAGCTGAAAAACTCATCGTTTGTTTATGAGCTGAAGAACTCATTGTTTGTTTGAAGCTATCAATGAAGAACTCATCATTTACAAGTGTTTACTAAAAAAATCTCTTCAAATGTTCTGCATTCCAATAGTGAGGTAAGATTTTTCCTTTCTTCATTTGTAACTCGTAGTTCCCAAGTCTGATTATCTTTAAAATGATGTAAGGGTCTTCCCAATTGGGTCCTACCTTTGCATGAGTGGGATCCCTTCTTGTAGGGAGAAGCTTTTTGAGTACCAGATCTCTGACTTTTAAGCTTTTATGTCTGATCCTCTTATTGAAGTGTTTGACTGTTTTCCTTTGGTAACTCATAATATGTTGCAAGACCTTTTCCCTCTTTTCATCCAAGAGGTCGAGGTTAAGCTGGAGTGGCTCATCATTGTGCTCGGGCTCTGAGAGCTCTGTCCTGGGGGATGGAATACTAATCTTTGTTAGAGCCACTGCTTCAATTTCGAACGCTATGGCAAATGGCGTTTCTTGAGTTGCTGACCTGAGTGTAGTGTTGTAAACTCATAATACGTCTGAGACGTGATCCACCCATTGCCCTTTCAAGGCTTCCAATTAGGTTTTCAAAGCTATTTTTATGGTCCGGATAGTTACTTCTGCTTGCTAGTTTGATTGAGGATAATCTGGGGCAGAGAAATAATTTTTAGGCCCAGTTTGATGAAGAACTTTCTAAACTTGGGATTGTCAAACTGCTTCCCATTATTTGAGACGATTGCCCTAGGTATTCTGAACCAGCAGATTATAGACTTCCAAGTGAAGTTTTGAATTTTTTGCTTTGTAATTGTTACTAAAGGCTCCATTTCTGCTCATTTTGTGAAATAATCTACTCCAATAATGACGAACTTGCACTGTCTGGTACTAGTGGGAAGATGTCCGAGTATATCATACCCCCATTGTTGGAAAAGCCAGGGGCTTATTACCGAGTTAAGAAGTTTTGGTGGAGAATGTGGGATGTTGGTGTGTAGCTGACATGTCTTACTTCTTCTAACCAAGTCTACGGCCTCTTTGAGCAGAGTGGGCCAGAAGTACCCTTGCCTTAGTGTTTTACCTACCAGAGTTCAAGTTCCGATATGATTGTCGCAAATGTCCTTGTGGATTTCTCTTAGGATGTAGTCAGCATCTTCGTCCCCTACACATTTCAGGAGAGGTGCCAAGAAGCCTTGCTTATACAGGTTTCTTTGTAGGATCGTGAATCTAGATGACCTAGTTCTTAGCTTCGTGGCTTCCTTGAGATCTGCTGGCAATGTTCCATTCTGAATGTATTCTCTAATTGGGTCCATCCAGCTTGGTTGGTTCAATACATGAAACACTTTTTTGTCTTCGTGGCTCACAGATGACTCAACTAGGTGCTCAGCTGGGATTAACCTGTCCAGGTTCTCCTGAGAAGGTGTGGCAAGCCTTGCTAAAACGTCCGCTCGAGAATTCTCAATTTCTAGGGACATGCTGATTTTGACTTGCGCGAATTTCTTTATCAATTCTTGTACCCTTTTTAGCTATAGGATCATCCTTTCTCCCTTAGCCTCATAGGTTTCTTTGATTTATTTTACCATGAGCTAGGAGTCGCTGTAGATTACGAGTTGCTCTGCCTCATTTATAGGAAACTTTGAGCTTAGCTAAATCTGGGGCGTGATCTTTGCCCCCCCCCCTCATGTAACGTCTTTCTTGATTTGCATAGTGGTTATACAGAGTGATGGGGGAATTGTGAATTTGGTGCCTGGACTGGTGCATGTTTCCATTAAGAAGAAGATTGGTGGTTGCAAGCTGTCTTCCACTCCGTTTGCTCTAAGGTCTGGACTTCAAGCTCGAGGTTATTGTGTTATTGGGCTCCCGACCTGATCTGGGTTGTCGAGCTCAACCTTAAAAATTTCTAGGTATCATCACAACTTATTTTCTCAAATCTATGGTTATTTTTGACCTCCTTGACCCCAAATTGCTTAACCCAACTCCCTTTTTGAAGTTTTAACAAGTTTTCTAAAATTTTGATTTCCAAACCCTAGTGGGTTTGTTTACCACACAAACACATACCTCGATCATGGCTTCCAAGAACTCCAATACACTATACAAACCCCATAACACAACCCAAACCTCAATTGAGAAATAAATGGTCGTTTGCTATGTAAACCATTTGAAAATCCATACCCACTTTAAGCTTCAAACACAAATTTGAGCGCACACACACAACATAAAACTTAAATCTAATCACACCAATGAAATTCTCATGAAGAAACTAAGTCTGACCAGGTTGAGTTTATGTATTGTAAGCTTTTAAATCAAAATCCAAAATTCTTTCTCTTGTCTTTCTTCAACCTCTTTCTCTCTCTTTTCTCTCTCTCTTTCTGGCCTTCTCCACAGCTTGCAAAGGAATTTTGTGAGGTGTAGTGTTGGGTTACAACTATTGTGGTAGAAGAGTGGTAGTGGCGGGGTTTATTTTTTAAAGATAAGGGTTCTACAATAATGGTATCGCAAAGAAAATTAAATTACAATTAGGGGTACTTTTGTCCTTTTATATAAATTATTACGTTGTTATCATTTGCAGTTCGTTCACAAGTTGGAAGGGATTAAGTGAAACTCATATAAGTATAGGTGATGAAGTGAGATTGATGCTTGCTTCAGGGGAATTTTTTGTTTTTTACCCTATTTTATATTCGACATTTCATTGTGTTTTATTGGACTGTAAACTACTATAAGGGTGGTTCAAAAGTCAACAAACCATGGTTCCACCCTTGGGTAAGCATTACCCAAATTTGATTTTTTAAGTTGTGTTTTAACATATATTCTATGCACATAGCATGTTAGTAAATATCTAAGGTTTTTTAATATTCGGTGGAAAATGATGGCTCAATTCAGATCAGGGAGAAGGAATCCATGCGGGCCAGTCAAATTTAAAATAGTTCACGGTCGGATTTGTGGAATGCTTAGGGTCGAAGGACTGCTAAGGATGTCGATTACAAGGAGCATACCAATGCCAATGGGCTGATTTTTCAAGCGCGAATAGAGCAACACACATTAGCTGAAAAAACAATTTGTGTTAATGGAATGAGTACTGCAAAAATGGGACAAGAAATTCAACTCAAATGACATGGAAACCGAAATGATAAGTCAATCGTGAATTTTGAATTAATAGAAGTAGAATAAAATGTATCATTATTACAACTTTATATTATTTGGTCCTTATTTTTAATTCTGTTTTTTGGGCGGTGTAGCATTATTTTAATTGAAGAGTATTGATGTGTTTACTGGTTGATGTTTATGGAAAAACTCAACGGTACCAAAAAAAACAAAGAAATTTGATATTGGTTACTATTTAAATTATAAAGTAATAATTTCGAAAGAAGAAATTACAACTGTCCAACAGAGGTCATGATTGATCACAAATTTTTCATGATCGATCATAAAAAATTCGGTATTGATCCCAACATTTTATAGTCGATCATGTCCTTTAAAGTTATAATTTATATCTTAAAAAGTTGTTACTTTACTTTAATTGTAATATCATACCTTCTTGAGATCAAGGGTTCAAGTTCTTCTCCTCCTACCCCTCCCCTGAAAAAAATTTTGCTTTCATAAATTATTTTTTTGTCTTATCATCCATCATTAATGTGTAACGGAACGATTTTAATACAATGATCGATCCCTACTGGTAGATGATTCGTCATGAAAAAATGCATGAGGGGATATCTACATCTTAATTACCTCGTAAAAGATAGATCAGGTCACATACCTTGAAGTACATAACCGATCTTGGCAGAATCTGCATAGTGGGGCAGAGAAAAGCCACGAGGGTGCAGAAGAAGCTTGCCAGCCCCAAGCTTAGCCTCAACCAGCAATGGAGATTTGGAAGTTGACCAACTGTAATACCCACCACCATCTCCCTCAAAAACTGTCTGCATCTTGGTGGTACCAAATTCAACTCCATTGTCTTTGAGTTCGTGTCACGGAAAGAGAGAGAGAGAGAGAGAACAGATGAACTAAATATGAAACTCTATTGCTGTGGGGCAGAATGTGCAGCATATGAAGAAAGAGATGACCAGTAGTTGACTAATGCAGTGGTACACATGGCTCACCTCTTCTCTTGAAGAGATTGGAAGCAACTTTTCCATCCATACCAAGGAACACCCTCGTAATTTTTAATATTACATTGTTTTCCCTTTTGGGTTGGGTTTTTATTTTGAAAAATGTTGCACAACCTAAATGAAACCTAAAAATTGTAATTCATATATTCATCAGTTTTTGATAAGTGGGTCCTACTGAAAAAGTTAATGAGATATATTCTTCCAAAAGATGGTATTTATTCGTGCTATAATTTTTTGACTTTTATTTGAGTTGTATAACATTATTTTTTTATTTTACCTTAAAACCCTACTCAATCTAACTATAAGCAAAATAAAATAAAAATTCTCCGGTTTATAAAAGATTCATACAATTCTACGTCAAGAAACAAAAAACAAAACATATAACACCAGACATTTTTTAGAATAAAATCAACTTTGTGGGTTTATCATTTCAAAGTTGGGTTATTTATCTTTGACAATACCAAGCTAACTTGTTTAGAATTATTTATATTGGATTGTGTTAATTTTGAATTTGTGTCAAAAGTTTGTGAGCACTAAACCACTAATTTAATTTTGCATGTGTGGTGTTACATTTGGATGGTTACGGTGGCAAGTTTTGATACTAAAATGGGACATTCTAAAGATTCAACACTAGTGTGTGAGTTGACCAAAAAAGTGTCTGTGGTAGAGAAAGAGAGAGAGACAATTGAAAACTAGACGACCAGCTGATCAGGGGTCAACAAAGGTGGTCGGAAGGGAAGTAAAATGAAATCTGGTTCTAGTTTCGAGAGGATGAGGTCTATTTTAATTTTTGGTTTGGTTTCAAAGAGGTGGAGAACAATTTTGATCAGGTGAAAAAGGGGATCCAGGAGGTGTTTATAAAGAGTAAATATTCAATGTAGCATTAATATAACATCATCACTGTTAAAAAAAATAAAATTCGTTACTAACACATAATATCACTCACCATTAACAAAAAATAATGTAGACTTAATGAATGTAGACTTAATGAACCCCACTCAAGTTAGGTTGTTAGTTTTGCACAACGGATACTTAACACTAATAATATAAGTTAGAAGATAGAAAAATAATAAAAACATAACACAAATATATATATCGTGGTTCGATATAGCATACCCATCTTGGTACACTGTATTTACATTCACGGACCAAAAATCTACATCGATGTATTATTCATTGAAATTTGATCATCTGATAACTGATTACATAATATTCAACCTTATTTTTAGAGATATAATATTGTAACCTAATACAATTTGAATAATGTCAAATCTCTATGTGTCCTGAGACTCTTACAATACTTTTTCTATTCTATTCAAAATTTCACAATTATTACCCAACAAACTCTTCTCATAGCAATTAGAGAATTTAGGTTAAATTCCAAAAGCTGTGTTTTAATTTGAGACTGTTACATAGTCTCATCTGCCTTTGGAGACAAAAATCTGATGAGGGAATTGGTACAATTTCAAAGACTATTATGATTGTTTTTTAATTATTGAAAGCATAAGTGGTGTCCCTTAAACAGCGTACCTTAAAACATATCAGAGCTTATTAGGATTGATGGTCCTACACATGTTACGTTCAAATTGATTAAAAAAATAAAAATAAAGTATGAAAAATATTTTTGGGTACTATAATAGACTCTACATTATAATGGGACAATTGCATTCGATACGTTTATTGACACATCATGTTTTAGTTGTATTAATTGATATATTTGTGCGTTGTACGTGAACGATTTTGATTATGAAATGTGCATATCAAAGTCTAGGGCCACTTTTCATAAAATCAACATTCTTGATGAACCTTGATGAGAATTACATTTTATAAAAAAATTTCAAAAAATGCTATTTGAAGTAATATTAAAAAGAATTTTTGATCCAAATAAACTATTCTGAATTTCATCTTTATCGTGTAATGCAACTGCCCTAATAATAACCTTGGCAATTCTTTTTAGCGATTAGTTTTTAATAGGACATTCAAGATTTTTTGAAGAGAGAGAAGCTTTGACTTCTCTCTAGGATTTTCTCCTTTTCATGAGTTCTTCACCAAATCCCTCTCTAATACCACCAAAACCTCCAGATTTACAGTCAGCAAATTATCCGCAATCACAACCATCATATGCTTCTCTTTTCAAACAGCCAGCTAAACCTATTTCTGTTGAAGAATATGAGATCAAGATTGAAAAACTGGTTGTCTTTTTTGAGGTAGAGCCTGCATTCTATTTCACATATGAAGAAGTGATGCAATCTTGTTTTTCTCTGCAGTATGCGTTAATAGGTAAGTGTGTCTATGGCCGTCCAAGTTTGGGAGTGATACGAGAAGTGATGGGATCTAAAGGGTGATTTTGAGATAGGTTCAATGGATCCCAGACATATATTGATAAGGTTTGAAAAGCATCAGGACTATGTAAGAATTTGGTTGAAAGATGCCACCACGATTGAATATTATTTGTTTAGATTTTTCAAATGGTTCCCTGCTTTTGTACCTAGTATAGAGTCATCCATTGTTCCCATGTGGATATCTCTACCAGGCTTGCCTCTTAAATTTTTCAAGAAGCCATTTTTGGAGTTACTAGTGCAGCCCATCAGAAGAGTGTTGGCATAGGATCAAGCAACACTTTCTTTAGCCAGGCCTGGAGTTGCAAGGGTGTGTGTTGAGGTTAATTTGCTAGCAAATAATCTTTCTAGGATTTGGCTGGATATGGGTGAAGAGGATGCATGTTGGTAGTGAATTGTGTATGAAAAAAATAAGAAATTTTGTAAAGCATGCAGGAAGCAAGGCCACGATGAAACTGAATACAGGAAGAAAAAACAGTGTTCCAGACGAAGGTCACAGAAGGAAAGATTTCAGTTTCGGATACAGCAGGGGCGCAGAAGGAAACTAACGAGCAGAGGAAAGGAAAGAATCTTCGCTATACAGAAAAGGAAGGTTTTCAAAACCAAGGAATAGGCAACCATAGTAAGAAATATGCAGATCAACCTAAATTACGGCAAGGAGTGCAACAAGAAGGAATATGGAAACCAAATCTGGCACAAAAGGAAATAGTTGGTAAAGGAAACTTTGTGAAGGAAAGGTCTGGTATATCTATACAAGATGTCGCTTTAGAAATTGAAGGGAATATTTCGAAATCAACCCCTAGAATCCTAGAAAGAGGTGAGCACTCAAGGAAGGATATGGAAACTAATAATTTGCAGAAGGTTATGGAAACTAATAATTTGCAAAAGGTTATGGAAACTAATAATTTGCAAAAGGTTATGGAAACTAATAATTTGCAGAATCTTTTGATTAGAGATCTCCCCCATTTGAATGACTTTCCTGATAAAGAGTTACCAGTTACAGACGATGGATAAGCTTCGATCAATAATCACATGAATTTTCCAGAATCAATAGCAAACATGGTCTCTAAGGAGGGAATATGTCGATTGAAGGAGCAGTGTATATCATCAACCTTCTTGGTTGATCATCATTATACTTGCAGGGAAGGTGGTGAGGTTTCTTTGGATGATGAGATGGGTTTAACATGTAGTAAGGAACCTCCGGATAAAGGGTTTTACTCGAATAATGATATCAACTTATATGTTGATCTGGATTTGCATGATTCGGAATCTGATATGGCTGCAGATGACATTTGTGAAGAAGTCCAAGTCCCACTTCAATTGGGAATGATTACTAGATCGAGGTCCAGACAACTCTCTTTTCCCAAACCTTTAAATGATTAATATCATTTCATGGAATGTGAGGGGTGCAAACCAAGAAACTTCTAGGTTGAGGTTGAGGCAGCTAATTAATATGAATGATGTAAGTATGGTATCGTTTTTAAAGCCAAAGTTAAGGCCATCGAAATTACACCAATTATGTAGAAGTATTGGATTCTCATCTTACTTAGCTAATCCGTTAGCTGACAAATTAATTTGGGTGCTCTGGGACCATAGACTAAAGGTAGATATGGTGGTTGCTCATGAACAAGCACTTACAGTGGAGGTGTCGTATCTGGGATCTGAATCCTTTTTTCTTACTTTCGTCTCTGCTAAGTGTGATCATATTTAGAGGAGGGCCTTGTGGAGCCATTTAGCTAATTTACCTGTTACTTTCAAGCCTTGGATGGTGATTGGAGATTTCAATACAATCGTCTCTTCTTATGAGAGAAAGGGGGGTTCTGTTCCAAGCTTATCTATCATGAATGAGTTTATGTCATTTATCAATTCCTTGGCCTTGTAGGACTGTGGTTATGTTGGTTCTACCTTCACTTGATGTAGCGGCCATCAAGGTCGAACCAGAATGTGGCAGCGCTTAGACAGAGCACTGGCGAGTGTGGAATGGGTGGAAAGGTTTTCTATAACAACTGTTGAGCATGTTGGTAAGGGGCAGTCTGATCACTGTCCACTTATTGTGAAGTTTGCAAAGTCAGTATCGGCACCATGAATCTAATATTTCAAATTTCAAAATATGTGGATTGAGCATGAAGATTTTCTGAAGTTAGTGGAAAGTAACTGGATTGGAAAATATTCACCAAACCCAATTGAGAATTTCTTTCTGAAATTAAAATTTTTGAAAGTCCATTTGAAGAGATGGAATAAAGAGGTTTTTGGTAATGTTTTTGACAATATTAAAAAGCTTGAAGCACAGCTAGTTTGTAAGGAGATGGAATACAAAAGGGATGAATCTGATGCTAATAATCAGTTATTGTTGAATGCAAAATCAGAATTGGAGAGAGCTTTGAAGATAGAGGAAAAATTTTGGAGGCAAAGGGCAAATGTGAAATGGGCAGTTAAAGGGGAGAGAAACAAAAATCTATTTCATGCACTGGCTAAGAATAAAGTTGTCAAGAACAGAATTGCAAGAATTAAAAGTGAAGATAACCAATGGGTGGAAGGGGAGCAAGAGATTGCAAATTGTGTTGTCGAGTTTTTCTCAAAACTATATAAATCATAAACACACAGTCTAGATGCAGAGCTATTTACTTTCATACAAAAGTTAGTAACTACAGATGACAATGTTATGTTTGTTGCTCCAGTCACTTTGGAGGAGCTTAGAACTACAGTCTTCTCAATGTCTATCTACACTGCTCCTACGCTAGACGGATATTCAGGTCAGTTCTTTTGTAGTACTTGGGACATTGTAAAAATGGATTTGTTAGTTGCTACTAATTATTTCTTTGTTGGAGGGGAAGTGCCCAGGTCTGTGAATACTTCTGTACTGTCTCTTATTCCTAAGAAGGAGAACCCAATATCCTTTGCAGAATTTAGGCCAATTAGTTNTCTGTACTGTCTCTCATTCCTAAGAAGGAGAACCCAATATCCTTTGCAGAATTTAGGCCAATTAGTTTGTGTAATTTCCTATACAAGATTTTTACAAAAATTTTGACAACAAGATTGGGGGTGTTGCTTCCTAAGTTGATTTCAGAGGAACATGAAGGATTTTTTAAAGGTAGGAACATAGAAGACAGTAGTGCACTTGCACAACTAATGGTTAATGAGCTGGACAGGAAGGTAGAAGCTAGAAATGCAATTGTGAAGCTAGATATGATGAAGGCCTTCGACATACTAGAATGGGACTTTCTGCAACATATTTTAACTAATTTTGGGTTTTCTGAAGCTTTTCTGAAAATAATTTCTAATTGTCTTCATAATCAGAATATCTCTTTGGTGATTAATGGGATTAGGCATGGTTTTTTTCCAAAATCAAGAGGGCTTCGACAGGGGTCCTCTATGCCCCAGTCTTTTCATTCTAGCAGAGGAAGTTTTAAGTAGGGGCTTGAAAGATAATTTTCAAAGGGGATTGATGCAGTATTACCATGTAGTAGGGGCTCCATTCCACTCACTCATCTACTTTTTGCAGATGATACACTCATATTTTTAAAATGAAACAAGAAGTATATGCTAAATTTATTGAAATTTGTAAAGAGGTATGAAGGCTCATCAAGTCAGTTGGTCAACAAACACAAAAAACTCTATGTATTGCTCAAGTAAAATCCCTTTATCAAAAAGAAATATATATGCTATCGTAGACTGCTCATTTTCCTCTAAAGTCATTCCCTTTTACCTATTTAGGGTGTCCTATTATAAGAGGTAGGGTTAAATTGATCTACTATGAAGAGTTGCTAAAGAAATTCTAGCTCAAGCTAGAAAGGTGGTATTCTAAAATGTTGTCAGCAATGGGAAGGTTGGTGTTGATCCAATCTGTGTTGAATTCAATTCCAATTCATCTAATGGCTTCTTTAAATCTTCCAAAAGGTATAATCTCCAAGTTGAATTCAACTATGCCAGTTTTTTTGTGGTCTGGTAAGGGAAGGGTACAAAGAAGGCATTGGGTTTCTTGGAAGTGCTTAACCATGCCAAAATATGAAGGTGGCCTAGGCTTGAGAAAGTTTGAGGATGTTCAAAGTGCTTTTTGTATGAAGCAGGTATGAAATCTATTGTTGGGTATCTCGCTGTGGTCTAAAGTCTTTTGCAGCAAATTTTTGAAGAATAATCACCTCCTGGCTAGTTTGGGGGGGAGTGAAGTTTAAGAGCTATAGGGATTTGGCTCCCTGGTTTGATTGTGTTATGGATAATAACCTCATGATGGTTGGTAATGGCGTATATGTGGACTTCTGGTGTGATAATTGGACTAGTCATGGAGCTCTTATACAAAGAAATTCAGTAAGACCTGTTATATTCCCAAAGATCTCGCAATTTTATGTGGATGGGCATTGGGTATTAGATGATGTTCAGCAGTCACTAGATGCTCACCTTTTACAGGAGGTGTTAACCTGTTGAATGTCAAGGCATACAGAAAGGGATAGGCTTATTTGGCAACACACTGATTCAGGTTAGTTTTCTATAAAGTCAACTTGGAAAGTTGTAAGGACAGTAGCTCAACTAAATGCACAAGCAGTAACAATTTGGAAACAACATGTGCCACCTAGTGCAGGATTGTTAGGATGGAGAATATTGCACCACTCATTACCAATGGATGAAACCTATCAACAGAGTGGAGTGTCTTTGGCAAGTAGATGTGTTTGTTTTCAAGATGACTGTGAATCTACTGGTCATATTTTTGTTGGATGTAAATGTGCAAGGGCAATATAGGGTTCAATCTCAGTTCAATTGGGTCTTCAGTTGATTGCAAATGGAGACCCACTTACTAGATTTATGAGGTATGTTAGAAATTTTAAGCATTTGTCTATGAGTCATGCTCTACTAAGGGGGATAGCTTTAATAGTCTATTGGCAACTATGGCAAGAGTGATGCAGGAGAATCTTTGAGGATCAAAAATTAAACCCCTACACACTGGTAAGATAAGTAATGCATTTTTTGTTGTTGCAGGTGAATACTGTTAGACCAAAAGCATTAGATTCAGCTTATGAGAAGGCGCTACTTCATTCACTTAATGTGTCTAAATACAAAATGTCAAAATGCTTTCATGGTGGACAGCTTGGAAATATCCAGCTATTGGTTTGCTTAAGCTTAACATCGATGGAGCATCTATGGGTAACCCAGGGGAGTCAGGAGGTGGGGCAATTCTGTGCAATTCAAGTGGTCAATTGGTTCTTGTTGGTTCCTATTATTATGGCATGTGCTCGAATATGGAGGCAGAAATAAAGGCGTTGTTAAGTGATCTTCTTCTTTTACAGGAATATGGGCTACAAGATTATGATTTAATTATTGAGACATATTCTAAACTACTGGTGGATATGGTCAATCAAAAGTCTAGGGTAGCATGGAAATTCTGGAGTCTTTTAGATCACATATTCTCTTTGCTAAGAAAATTTACCTTTCAAATGCAGCATACATATGGGGAAGGTAATAGGGTTGCAAATTCTTTGGAAAATAAAAGAGTTTCAGATAGACAATCCTTCACTCATAATTCTACATCTACACTACCATTACAAATAAAATTACTTATGATGCATGACATAATGCGAATTCAAAATTTGAGGAAGAAAGTCTTAACTATTTGAGACTCTCTCTTATCTCTGTCAGGAAAACCTTTGTTCTTTGCAAGTCTTTAGGTAAAGTCAAAACATCAAATAGGTTTTCGCCTGTGTTGTATGATGGTCTTCTTTGGTCTGCTACAATGGTTATATCTCTGGAATGCTGGAGATTCCATCGGAACATGTTGGGGATCTATGGTTTTTCATGACAATTCAGTTCCCTCGCTTAGTGGGCTTCTTCTCAAAATAGTTTGGTCTTCTGATTCTTTAGATCCTTTGTTATTCATCTGTTACCATAAATCAAGTCCACATTTGATTGTAATTTGGGATTTCTTTATATTGGATTTCATATCATCTGGTCTCCTCTCACTCATCTAGGCACACATTGTGGAGGTCCTCATTTGCATAGTTGTCACACCCTAACTGACTTGGGTG